AGAGGGAGCATGGCCCTGCCAACATCTTGATTTCAGACTTCTAGCCTCCAGAACTGTGTGAAAATAAATTCTGTTGTTTTAAGCCAATTTGTGGTACTTGGTTATAGTATCCCTAAGAAACAGATACAGGGATCCAGATGGAGCTGTCCCATTGAAAGGTATGGATGAGGTCAGGCCAGTCTTCTTTCTAAAGCCCAAGGAGGGGTTACTAAGGAACAGAGCATGCTGGAGGAGATTTATTCTGCCCAGGGTGGGGAGGAGGAGAGATATTGAACAGGGAAACTTCACGATGAGGACAAGATTGAAAAGGGCTTTGGAGCGTTAGAAGAAATCTTTTTCTCTCCTAGCTGATGATAGACTTCTGGGAGCTAATCTACACTTCTATTCAAGTATTAGACAAACCTTTATTGAGCACTTTTGTGTTAGGCTCTGTGCTGGGCACTAAGAATATAATGGTGAGCAAAACAGGCACCCTCCCTAGTCTCCTGCAATGTCTAATCCACCGAGGAGACAGACACGGATCGAATAATCACCCAGAAAAATATATTAGCACTCACTCCGATAAGTGACATGAAAGGAAATTAACAAGTGTTAAGAGAACATAGTGCAAGGAAGTTGTTCAAGTCTGAAGGCTGTAAAAGGCTTTTTGAGGAAGTGATGTTTGAGACGAGATCTGAAGACAGGGAGTGAGTTTTAGGTGAAGAGGGAACAGGAGGAGACAGTCCAGGCAGGGGCTCTGAAGCCGGGAGGGGAGATTTGAGGATCTGAAAGACAGCCCTGATGTCACTGTGGTACATAAGGGAGGGGCTGAGGCCGGGAGCAGGGAGCAGCCATGGCTCACTGGGCCTTGCAGGGTTTAGTCTTCATCCCACGAGGAAGGGAAAGGCAGTCAATGAATTTCAGCAGCAGTGCGAAGAGACAAGATTCAATTTATGGAGTTTTGGGTTTTTTTTTTTTTAGATCACCTTGATGAGAATGGTTGGAGAAAGGGCATAATGGAAATAAATGGAACCCTTAGGAAACTATTGTACTGGTCCAGCCCAGAGAGGATGATGGCTTGAACAAAGTGGTAGCAGTGGAAATGGGGGATTCAAGAAGTATTTCTCTAGGCACTCAATGAAGGAAAAAATGAACTAATGAATGAAATCAATGGTCCGTCTCTGTAGCTATTCCACTTTCTCCTCTGTCTCCAGGTTTTAAAACACTGTCTCTCTCAAAATTGACATTGATGCCTCAGTACAAAAGATCTTGACATCTGATAACGAAGGCTCAATCTATAAACAAGAGGAAATTAAACGATATTCTGGCAAGATGGTGAGACTCTTTCCATTTGGACAGAAGGAGGCCCATAGAAGAGAGAATAAGAGGTTTGACCCCTGAAGACTTTCATAGGCCAGGGAGTTCCCAAGGCAAGGACCTATCTGAAGAAAGGGGTCCCCCCAGCCCCTGCCAGCCAGTGCGCTTCTCCCATCTGATATTCTCTAAGGAGTGTGACTCATAGGCACTGTGTCCAGAAGGAACAAACGTACGGTTGAGCTCTCCCACGGCACTCTGCAAGACAGTGTTACCGCCTAGGAAGGGCTTAAGCTTCTGCACTTCAGGTTTTCCTCCTCTGTTGCACTTAAACTCTAGACATGGGGATGAGAATGGAGTCCAGACTGTGGCCTTCACATTGCACAAGAGGGTGTGCCTCTTCCCAGGGGTGTGGCACACACCTGAAGTTCTGAGCACCAGATTTCCAGCTCCTGATGGAAGCAAAGCTGTGGTCCTGGATGCTGAGAGTCTTGGCCCACTTGTGCAACTTGGGATGTGTTGAGTTCAAATTGTTCACTCAGGTGGGTACCTAATCAGCTCTAAAAAGCTGCACTAGGTGGGCCTCGTGTTCATCTTCCCTCTCCATCATGCCAGGGAAGGATGGAGTTGAGGGCAGTGAAAGGCAGCCAGCTGTCTTTAAATACCGAAAGTGTCTCACAGCCGATAGAATCTGAAGAATACTGGAGAATTGCTTCAAATCTTACCTTCTTCCTATTGTTCAAAAGATGCTGGAATGGACTCTGTGGATTTAATTTAAATTCAATAATATGTTTTCATCCTAATTAACCACGCAACAAGAGCTACTGAGGAAATGACACAAACAGATGACTCAATATTTGCTTAATAATGACATCACATTCACATTTATGCCCAAATTCCAATGACTCTGAGCTACCCTTGCCAGAGGGCAGGACCTGAGCTCCTCTTTAAAATCTTCCTGTTATTTCTGGCCAATCCCAAAGGAGTGTCAGTGTCTTGGCCACCAGAGCTACGGAGCGTTCTCCATTGGCTTTCTCTACAGTAAGTCGTCACTGTTGGAGTCCACCAAACAGACCCTTAAAGAAGCCTCTTTGTCACCACGGCTGACAGTGCCTTGCCTGTCCTCCTGACTCAGTGCCATAGCTTGCCATTTGGGTGCTGAGGCAGGACTGCCTGTGCCCAGAGTCTCACAAAGTCTTTCATAAAAATAGTGTCTTCAGCCTGTGGTCCTTACCCCTCCCTTGGGAGAAAACTCAAACCTGGTTCCAAGGCGGGTGGAGGAGAAAGGCCATAATATTCCTTTCTTGTCATCCCTTTTCTCTCTGCAGGGCCCCCTGCACACCTCAGTTCCATCTCTCAGCCTTCAGTCCCACCAGCCCCAGGCAGATCCACAGAAGCACGTGGAGAAGGGTTAGTTACTCCTTACTCCTTTTGCCAACTGCATCACAGCCTCAGCCCCTGCCGCCCAGACACACATGCGTGCACGCACACACACAAGCACACGCACGCATGCACATGCAAATTAATTTATGCATAGAAAAGGAGCCGAACGGTCACACATCAAGGAGTTTTAATAATGGCAAGAACCCTGGAGGATGAGTGTTGGGGTGTTTCTTATTTTTGTCTGCTGGCATACCCACTTGCCTTACTTTTTTGTTGTTATTTTATCTTGTAATGCTTTTTTATTATGTATTAAATACATTTTACATTTTATTATGTAATGCTTTCGTTTTTAAAAATCACTTTAGATATTAACATTTGGCTGATAACCGGAAGCCCTCCAATTTATTTTGGTCTTCCTAGAAGTTGCATTGAACCCTTGGGGAACTGTTGAGTGTCAGCTGGCTTTATGTCTCAATCTAGTACAGCAGCTCGTGAGAGCGGCCTCTGTGAGCCCTCACTGTGGGCCAGGCTCTACACCAAGCACTTCCCATGCACTGGACCATGCCACCCTCCCCAGAACTCTGGGGCGGCCCTGTAATCCCCATGGGAACTGGGGACCGGCGCCTTAGAGCAGTATAATCTACAAGGCAGCACAGGATGCCAGATGCATGGCCCAGAGACCCAAATTCTACAGAAGCCAAGAGGCCCAGACCCTTCCCCAGGGTTTTTGTTTAGGGCACTAGTTCTGGGGGCTTCCTCAGGTACTCGCCAGCTGGACCCTCCTCTCTCAGGGAAACATCTTTTCTCTTACCCCAAACTCATGCATCCTGGGAGAAACAGAGAAGGGCTGGGCCCCTCTGTGGGACCTCACCCACCCACACCCGCAGGCTCTTTGCAGAAAGTCAGCAAAGCTCAGCCAGCCCATGTTCAGAGCGGCTGTGGTCCTGCCACGTCGGCCTCACCCAGCCTCCTGTAAGAGCTTAAGTCAACAGGAACAGAAAATCAGATGGGCCATCTTGGGATGGGGAGAGGAAAAACCCCAGCAGCTGCTGTCTAATTGGCATTCTATACAGCTAGAGGCTTCCAAGCACAGAAATGAATTAAATAAGCTTTTTTTCCCCTTTAGGGTGGAGTACAGGCTCCAGGTCTCCACCCAAGTCACACCCTAGCTAGGGCTATTTATAATATCGAAATGCCAGATGGAACCAGCCAGGGTGAAACAGAAAACAGAGGCTGGACAAAAGGTAGCCGCCCCACAAGCCCAGTTTTCCCCCGGAGCAGACGCAAACCCTGAGGGAGCACCCAGGGACTGACCACAGGGGCAGGGCCTAGAGGAGCAGGCAGGCGCCTGGCTGACCCCCTCGCCCAAGGCGCTTCCCCAGCGCTTCGGAGAGCAAGCTGTTGGATGCTTCCCCTACATTCCACAGCCTGAGGCACAAGGATGGGTTCTGGGCAGGGACTTGGCTGTACCTGTTGGTTTAGGAGCAGGCAGCGGAGGCCAGGAAAGCTTGCCCGGGCCAGCAGCCAGCTGTGGAGCGTGCCAGGCAAGGCAGCTGGGGTGGGGCCCCAGGTCTAAGCAGAGGCCGGAACGAGGTGGAGTGTGGTGGTTCAGAGTGCAGAAGCAGGGACGTGGGGCAAATCCTGATTTCCTCTCTTACCTGGTGTGACTTTCTGCCTGTTATTAACGTCTGGGGGACTGGGCTTCCTTATTTGTGAAACACTGGCGGTAATTAAACCAACTGAATGGGATTTTTGAGAACCCTAAACAGACAATAAGTGCTTAGGATCGTTCTGCAGCACCGAAATGGCAGCTGTTACTATTGGACTTTTTGCCCAGATACAAAAATGCCTCTGTGTCGGTCACTGACTGCGTTAATGACTTGCAGGGCAGACACAGGTCCCTCTCCTGGAGGGCGAAAGGGCTTGGAGACAGATCACATCACAGCTTCCCCTTCCCGCCCCTGATGTGCCGTGGCAGACCCAAGGCTGGCTTGGGCTAGCAGGTCATCTGAGATAGACACCTGAATAAAACCCGGTTAGCATCCTGCTAACTGCTGGCTGCCCCTGTGGACCCAGCTAGCAGCCTGCTGGTCTGCTAGTGAGTTAAAATACTTTCTTCCTAAATGAAAAGCCCTCCTCTCCTCTGATGAAATCCTCCCCTCGCATCTGAGCGCAGCTCCACTCTCCCCTTCTCCAGGGACATCCCTGACCCTCAGACCACACCGGAGTTTCTTCCAGTCCTGTGGAAATCTAACAAGGACCATCTATGTCATTTTAAGTGTTTTTGTAGCCAGGTGAATGAAAGTAAAAAGAAACAGGTGAAATTAGTTTTAACATATTTTATTTAACCCAGTATATCAAGAACAGTATCATTTCAAAATGTAATCAACATAAAATGATTAATGAGACATTTTACACTCTCTTTTTATACTAAGTATTCAAAATCTGGTGTGTATTTTACAGCTACAGCACATCTCAATTTGCACTGGCTTCATTTCAAGTGCTGGGTCTCCCCCTGTGTCCGGTGGCAGCTGCATTGGACCACACAGGTCTAGAGCGCTTGCTTCGCTCGCCATTGACTTGTTTGGGAGGAGTCTCCAGCCTGACTCTTCGCTGCTGCCTGCTCCAGGGTTCAGAGGAGTGCAGGGATGTGGGGAGAGGAGCAGCGTGCTATCGCAGGTGGGCGTGAGGAGTCTGGCAGGGGCTACTGCAATCTGAGATGCAGCCGCACACAGAACGGCCACTGTGCTTCTCTTCAGTCTCCTGGTCGGTCCCCCAACAGTTTGGGTATTAGTCTTGGGGTGGGGATGGGTCATGGGCGCTGTGAATAAAACATAAAAAGCCATTTGTCCCCAAAAGCTCTGGAGGACATTGGGACATTGACAGCCCTGCTTTGAACCCCTCCATCAGAGGAGTGGTTTCTTCGGCTCCCTCCAAGCTCACACAGCTGGAGTGAAGCTTTCAGTGGAGACCAGGCTCTCACAGTTGAGGAATAAAAAAAGTCCCCCAGGGGGGCCAGCCGGGTGGCAGAGCAGTAAAGTACACATGTTCGGATCCCATGGTTTCGTACAGGCCTCCACCCTGCTGGGGTTGCTGGTTTCTGGCACAGCCCTGGAGACTTCCCAAGCCTTGAGTTGGCCTAGCTTTTGGAGACCTTTGCGCCTCTGTATTGACTGCCCATCATGCAGACTGCCAAGCCAGTTACTGAAAGGATTTGGAATCTGGGGAGTAAGAAAAATCACTACCTACGCTCCAGGGGAATTTATGGGGACAGTCTGAATCAAATGACCTCTCCTGGCCAATCTGGCTTAAGTTCAGCCTTGCCCTTACAGAGCTACCATTTGCCTGCAATTGAGCCTGTGGACAAAGCTGAGTCTCCCCTGATTTTGTCTTGGCTACTTTTCAGTCCATCCAAAACAGACCACATGGTCACCTTGTCCAGAAGATATCATTTCCCAAATAAATTGCTACAGCACACTCTCTTGAAAAAGAATTTGCTTTTTTCTTATCACCATAAAATCTCAAAAATTAAAATGCTAGGGAAACGAGGTTCTTCTGATATCTGGCCTTTTCTCGTTAACAGGAAACTATTTTTATTTTAACCAGTGATGCTGAAAATCTCTGTCTCATGGCCCAGTGCCTGGCCTGTTTTTAATCACACAGGACCCTGCCGGGCTGCAGGGCACTGTGAGTCCAGATGGCCTGGGCTGTGGATGTAGAACATACAAGCCACTGGTCAAACCTGATTCCAGGCTTGCGCTGGCTGCTGGCATTTGTTTCTGTTTGGCGCTAACCAGACCCTTTAGATGAGCTCATGCTGTTGTAGTTATGTCTCCTTTCCCTAAAATCTAAGCATCAAAATTCAGCTTGAGTGCTCAAGTGAACTAGATTCCACTAGAGAAGTGGCTCAAGTTAGGGCAAAACGTTTTTGGCTCAAATCTAATGCTTGACCATAATCTGACTATGGGACGACTTCAGCCTTCTCTTCACAAGGGCATTTCCATCTGGCTCCCTGTGAAGTCACAGAAATTCTAGTTATTTCTGTAGTGTGCGATGGCCTGGTTTATTTATAAGAACTATCCATGGGGGCTGAGCTGTTCTGTATCTGGAGCCGCTTATAATATCACAGTTTTGAAGTGTTTATTTTCTTACACCAGCTTTAGCTGATACGGCACTTTTGAGCCATTAAGAATCTTGTAAGTCAAGATGGTTTAGATAGAGGATGATTTTTCTGGTGAGGGCTGAATCAGATGAATCAACGCCTCTCCCTTGATTGGGCTGTTCCATTAAATGGGTGACCATCACGCGTTCCTTTGAGAAGTGGCGTTGCCCCCTTAGGAAGATTTGCTGCCAGCCGGCTTTGTTTCCTCTAGCTCACACCCCAGCTGGAAAGGGCAGCCCCATGAACCTGGAGAGACAAGGCCACCCCAAGAGAGGCAGAGGGACAGCAATGGATGTTCCAGGGCCATCGAGCCTATATGCCACCACACTGGGCACAAGAAGCCCAAAGAAAATATTCCAAATTAATGAGGATTGAACAGCTCATGGCTTTGCAACCTGAGGACAAATCTATTTGCAGACAGGCCTTACCCTCACAAATTTTACTTTCCAGTGACAAGCACAAACAGAGAGGCAGAGAAAGATGCAATATACTGTCGAGGGCACTAACATGGACAAAGAAAGCAGGATAAGGGGAGAAAGAATAAAGGGACAGGTGGGGGGGTACGTGTTAGACAGGGTGGTCAGGGCCACCTCTCTAAGAGTCACATTTGAGCTGAGACCCCAGTGAAGTGAGAGAACAAACCCAGCGTCTGTCTGTCTGGGAGAGGAGTTTCCAACACGAGGGAGAAGGGAGTGCAAAGGCCCTGAGACAGAGTGTGCTGGGCGGCAGAGGAGCAGAGAGAGGAGTGTGTCTAGAGAGCGGAAAGAGAGGAGCGGAGGTCAGAGAGAGAGCAGGCAGGGTGGTGGGCAGATCTTTCTGCAGAGACTGCAAACTGTCCCTGGTATCCATTCTCTCTTCTTCCTAGTAATAAAATCCGCCCCCCAACCCCATCCCCTCATCTTTGTGGGGCTCATGGCCGCTCTACTGGAGACCACATCTTCCAGCCTCTTGGGCAACTGGGTGTGGCCTCCTCATTAAGTTCCTGCCAATGGACTGTGAATGGCAGTGATTTCTGCTACTTCTTGGTTTGGTACTCAAAGAGCAGACAGTATTCCTCTCTCACTTTTATCCCTTCCCACACGCAGAACCAAGATCTGGTGCTAGTGCCCCCACCTCATGCAAAGAGACAAGGGGAAGGCCCCAGGCAGGTTCCCAAGGTGTGGTCCTTAGATTTGCAACATCAGCATCACCTGGAAACTTGTAGAAATACAAATTTGGGGACCCCACTCCAGACCTACTGAATTAGAAACTTTGGGGGTGGGGCCCAGCAATCTGTGTCTTAACAAACCTTCCAGGGGATTCTGATACACTCAGGTTTCAAAACTGCTGCAAGGTTTCTCAAGATCAGCAATGCTGATGATATCGACCCTGATATCAGTTTCCCCACATTAAACCCAGCATATATGGGGTTAAAACCAAAACACTCATTCCCAGTTTACTCTCTGGCTTCCTGGCTCCAGAATCCACTATCCTCCATGGAGACAGACACCGTCAAGGATAAGCACCTGGACCATCTCCTCCCACAAAGAGCTACGGGCTGGTGGGAAAGCTGCTGACCAGCAAGGTCATGAGCCGCCTCCTCTCTGCAAGTGTCTCAAGGCCAAAGACAGGCTGGTGGGAAAGCTCCGACCAGCAAGGCCATATGCTCCCCCTCCCCTACCTAAAACCCCAAATAAAAACCCTTCCTTTTAGCTTTTCGGGGAGTTTGGGATTTCAGCGTTAGCTGCCCTCTCTCCTTGCTCAGCGCTGTGCAAAAATAAACTTCCTACTTTCTTCCACCACAGCTGGTGTCAGAGATTGGCTTGCCGCTCAACGGGTGAGCGAACTCACTTCAGGTTCGGTAACACTGACACTTAGGGCACAATAATTCTTTGTTGTGGGGGCCTCTTCTGTTTACTGTAGGATATTTAGCAGCATCTCTGGCCTCTGCCAACTAGAAGACAGTAGCACACACCCATCCTTTCCCCTAAATTGTCACAATCCAAAATGTTTCCATAAACACACACACACACACACACACACACACACACACACACACACACGTTTCCTGTGGTATGCATATCAATTTTTGGAAGAAGAGATAAGAAACCGATAAAAGTGATTATCTTTGGGTAGTAGGAAATGGGCTGAGGGGCCTTTGAATGACTTTGCTTTTATTTTGTATGTTTCTGTTGTGTGTTCAAGTTTTTACCACCTGGATTATTGCAATAAATTTCTAGGCCCAAGATGGAGCCACTCCTGCCCAGGGTACCACACCAGCAAACCAAAACTTAGAAAACATTCATGTCCCTGTAAACACATCGTGTTCCTCTTGACTGGAAATGCAAGATTTTCATTCAGCCAATCCCCAAAGGCCAAACCAACTCTGGGCCTTCTCACTCCAAACAAGGTTGACTATGGGGCCCCAGCCAATCAGGTACTTTCTATTAGTCCCTTCCTCGTTCTTTATTCTTTATCCTATAAAAGCTTCTTGCTTTCTGCTCCATTTTGCAGTTCCCCGAAAGGTGACTGTCCACTTCATGAGGTGTTAAAGGTTTTATCACCTAAATTGTCTTCCTTTCTGATTTTTTTAATAGTATGTAACATAATCATGGGGAAGAAATGCTTTAGAAAGACCACATATTGCCAAGATGGAAACTAGGTTTCTTTACTACAATTTTGACACCAACTCCAATGCGTGTGGGTTTTTCCACACCACCAAGCAATTCTCGGACACCAGCTGGGTGTCCTACAATTCAACTCAATTCTGACATCATCTACATGGAGATAGTGTCAGATCTCACAGGTTAAGAGCTCAGTCCTACAACACCGCCCATTCCCCCCCTCCCCAGATGCCAATTGCAAGTCCAGGTTGTCACCTGTGCTTCTGACTGGCTATAGACTGAGGTTCCCACAACCCCCTCCTTGGGTTCAATTAATTTGCTAGAGGGGCTCACAGAACACAGGAAATCAGTTTACTTACTAGATTACTGGCTTATTATAAAAGGCTATAACTCAGGAACAGGCAGACGGAAGAGATACGTCAGGCAAGGGGTGGGGAAAGGGCTGGGAGCTTCCACGCTCTCTGAGCCGCCACTCTCCAAATCTCCACTTGTTTACCAACCCAGCAGCTCTCCAAACCCGTCCTTTTGGGTGTTTATAGAAGCTTCATTACACAGGCCTGATTGATCAAATCATTGGCCACTGGAGAGTGATTCAACCTCCAGCCCCTCTCCTCCTTCTAATCACATGGTTTCTTCCTCTGGTGATCAGTCCTCATCCTTAGGTACTTTCCAAAAGTCACCTCATTAATATAACAAATGACACCTTTATCACTCTCATCTCAGGAAATTCCAAGTGTTTTGGGCACTCAGTGCCAAGATCAAACGTATATTTCCTATTATAAATCACAGTATCACATGTACGATAGGACTTCTCAGCATCCTTAACACATGCTAACATATTTTTAATCTCCAAGGGGAGCAAAACCCTCGCAGAGGTGCGCTCAGAACACTGGGAAGCACGGATCTGGCCGACACTGCTTCCTCGAGCCCTCCCAGCCCAGAAGGCATTTAAAGGTGGCTGAGCCTGGCCACGGCCACAGAAAAATCCATTTGGGGCATTTTGCTGGACTCAGACTGTTTCTTCCACACTCAGAGAATGAGGCTTGAGATACGACAGTTCTTTCATGAAACTTTTGACTGGCCCCCAAGCAATTCATTCTTAAATCACAGATCCTCTCAAAAAAAAGAAAAGCCCCCCAGGTAGTCTTGGTCCCTCCAGTTTGTACCTCCCTTTGTCAGGGGCTGGAGGAGGGGACACATTTGTGCTCCGCCACCCTGAGATATAAATTCCCCCTCTGCACCCCACTCCCCACATGGCCTCAGGCAGGTGCACGTTCATCCACGTGCCCTGGAGCAGAGCCAGTCGTCTACCTCGCAGGGTCTCTCCCAACTTCTCTGCCTTCTGTTCCCTCCGTGTGGTAAGGCAGAATTTGTCTTCTCATCTGCCCCTTTTCAGGGATTGGGGAGAGGGAGGGAGAGGGCATGAAAATTTAAATCCTGGTGATCATTCATTTTTAACCTTCTTTACTATTTATCCAAAAGATCTTCAGTTACACAGTGCACCCCGTGACCTATGAAACCACTGGACGTTTACCGAGCCCACCCTTCAACCTTTGCTGCCCGACCACCAACAGTGATCATTCTGCAGCTGCAAACAGATCAAATCCGAACTGTGTCTTTCCTCATAAATGAGTTAATATTCATTTAAGGGCCTCATAACAGTGCCTGATAAATGGTAACTTCTGTTTTTTGGGGGTTTTTTTTTAGGCATTATTATATCATGATACTCTACCCTCAGTATTTCTCACTATTTAAGTCTCTGGAATTATTCAGATTTTCAATAAACAGATTATACTGTGAATGGGGAACAAATTGCTGAGCAAGTGGCACCACCCACACAGTGTAGAAGGTCTGCATAGCAATGGGAAAGTAAGAATGAAATAGTACCACAAATCAACAAAGAGATTCTCCATTCATAGTCACTGCTTACTCAAGTGTCTCCCATTTGGTACTTGTCCAGTGAGATTTTTCCCCACATACAAGTCAAACTTAGCATGCATCAGAATCCATCATCAAGGGCTTGTTAAAAAAGATTTACAGGGGCTGGCCTGGTTACATAGTGGTTAGGTTTACATGCTGTGCTTCAGCGGCCCGGGGTTCATGGGTTAGGATCCCGGGCACAGACCTACACACCACTCATCAAGCCATGCTGTGGCAGCATCCCACATACAAAATAGAGGAAGACTGGTACAGATGTTAGCTCAGGGACAATCTTCCTGAAGCAAAAAGAGGAAGATTGGCAACAGATGTTAGCTCAGGGCCAATCTTCCTCACCAAAAAAAAAAGATTGACAGCTCCACCCTCTAGAGTTTCTGAATTAGTAGGTTGGGGTAGAGCTAGAGAATTAGCACTTTAAACAAGTTTTCAGATGAAGCTGATGCTATTGGTCTGGGGACTACACTTTGGGAACTAAAGTGTAGTCCCCACCTGAATTTAGAACTTGACATTTAAAAGTGCATTTTGCTCGAATCAGGTCATGGGTCCAGCTTGTCAACATCCACTAAGGTCTGTCATTCACCACCTTTGTGGCATCTCCGCTTCTGAGAGGAATGCGCCCTGGGTTCTTATATAGGTGACTGATACAAATGTGGATAGGGCTGACTAACGACAAAATCCAGGTCAGGTGATTAAACCCCTAGCTTTTAGGCTCACCTCAATCCATTATAATTACGGCAGTATTTCTCAATCCTGGTCAAACTCTAAAATCACAGGGAAGCTTAAAAAACAAAAACAAAACAAAAAATGATGCTTAGGCCCCACCCTGGAGAGCCTGAGTTTACAGCCCAGAGTTCCCTCAGGTGTTGGTACTTTAAAAAACATTCTCTCCAGGTCATTCTAATGTGCAACCAGGGCTGAGAACCACCATCTAGAGGTCTTACTGATTTAACCTATCAAACCAACCCAACTGAACTGTCCTTCTGCCCTTGTAACTTTTTTAAGCTTTGATAAGCTTTACTTACCTAAGTTACTGCGAAAGTTGTTGGCAAAGCTTTGCTGACATCAGGTATGTTTTCCTACAGCTTTCCAAATTCTTCTATTTGATCACTGCACTTTCAGAAACATAAAATTCTATTGGCCTAGCATTACATGGTGTTAGAAAATCATACTAATTTTAAAGATCACCTTGTAAAGATGTTTACAATCTGTTGAGGAATTTTGCCTGGGGTCAATTTCAAGCTCACTGAATTGGATCCATTTAGTTTATATAATCATAACGTAATGATAGCTCGCATTTATTGCTTGTTAACTTTGTCTCAGCCACAGTGCTCTTCATAAATATCACACAACAATCCTATAAAATAGCTATGATTATTTCCATTTTACACGTGAGGAATCAAGACTGGATTCCAGCTGACTCCAGGGCCCATACATTTAACCACTAGATGTTGCTTCTATTTATATTTGCCAGGAGCCATTTTGTTCTTAAAGTGTTTTATGGTGACTTACAAGGATGTTAAAGATATGAGAAAGAATGAAATAACTGGAATAAAGTAAGACCAGAGAGAGTCAAAATGAGTCACGGGTCAGAACAAAATGTTTTCTCATTTGCTAACTGAAGGGTCACCAATTTGGCTTTGAGTGTCCTGGAAACATCAAGTCAAAATAGGATCACATGTTCAACTGCACGGGTGACATTGGATTAAACACAAACATTGTCAGGACAAGTACCTAAGAAGCCCCGGGCCTTCTTAAAGAAGGCAGTGAGGGTGAGAGGAATGTCTGCAGGAACATCCTCATGATCCAGGCAGATGAGAATTTCACAGGGCTCAGTGAATCGTGATTTCCACCATCCGCTTCCTCTTTTATTTACAAAATGAGAATTTTGGCTAGCTTTCTAATTCTTCAAAGATTTCTGCATTCCCATTTCCAGTATCTCTTCCACGACTGTAAACTCATTCCAAAAGATTAACAGCAATTTAGCAATTCTCTGCTCACGTTTTCTCAGTACCCTGGAATGTAATCTGAGCATTCAGGATTCACTTTTGGAGAGTTTCATAGTCTCTTGACTCACCTTACCTTTTGGACTCTCATTCCACGAAATCACATCTGACTTTGAGGAGTGTCTTCCCAACACCTAGTTTCTCCTTGCTGATCATCACAGCATCAAGTTGATATGGCTGTGTCCACAGGCTGGCTGTCAGATCCGCAGGTGAGGCCAGCATAACCTGAAATAACAAGGTCACTCTCTGTCAGGTGCCCATCACAACGCCCATTTCGCCAACTCATTCCTCCTTGTAGCTTGATGTGAAGTTAACAATAGCAGCTTCCCTTGTGTTAGTTGAAACAATCAGTGGATGAGGCCAATAATTTATCATTTATATTTATGAGACTATACAGTAATGAGAATGTTATCTATCTTGAAAAGTATTGGTATTTTCTTGCCACTTGAAAAAGACATGGTGTCAAGTGTGTTGGGGTTTTTGGGTTTTTTAAAATTATTTTATTGAGGTCATATTGGCTTATGACGTTTTGTAAATTTCAGGTGTATGTTATTACTTATCAGTTTCTGTATAGACCACATCATGTTCACCACCAGCAGTCTAGTTTTTATCCATCACCATACATATATGTTCCCCCTTTTGTATCCCTCCACCCCCTTCCCCTCTGGTAACCACTAACCTATTCTCCTTATCCATGTGTTTGGTGGTGTGGTTTTTGAAAGTAGATCTCTTGGCACAAGATTCAAGGTTAGAATTATACATCATTTGGAAAGCACTCTCCCATCTTCTAACATTAAGCTGCCCAGAACACTCTTGCCAAACTCCTCTTTAGCTGGTTCCTTTTCTTATCCTTGGGGTCTCACCTTGAATACAAGCTCCTCAGCTGAGCCTTCTCTGACCACTCTATGTAGGAGGCCCCACCCGGTAAGTGATTTTTGTTTACTTATTTCAATTACCTATCTTCCCTGCTAGACAAATACTCATTGATGGCAGATACTTACCTTGTAGTCCCAGGACTTAGACAGCGCTCTGTTCATAGCAGAGGGCACCATAACCATTTGCTGGAAGAAGTGAAAACAGGGAAGCAGGTGAGACGTCAATGACCGCAAAGTTGGGGCCTGAGTGGTGAGTCCAGTTGTACACGATGGGAAGACAGTGGGGCTACAGTGATAGTAGGAGTGATCACAGAGACATGTGTGGGAAGAAAGAGGGATCCGGAGTGAAAAAGCTCATTTTATCCTTTCTAATAACCAAGCCATTTAGATGATTTGAGCATATGAAATTTAGGAGTAAAGTTGATTGCCATGTACCTCAAAGGAAGGAAAATGGATCACATCATCCTTGGTAGCAAGTATAGGAAGAACTGAGGTGGGCAGAACTTTGATATCATTAAATAGACCCCTCCCCCAAGCAAACTTGCCTCTACTTTCCTAATGTGCTACTTCACAGTCTATACAGATTCCCCAAGATGGTACCTCAGGATGTCACCCTGCAGAGTGCTGAGAACTGAAGGCAGAGTTTAACGGTCGTTAGAGTTGGCTTTTCCTACAGTTGGAAGAAATGAGAAACACGGAAGTTTAGAAAGAAGAAATGTCTAGAAGAGAAAGGAAGAAGATACTCAAAATTGGTCAACGAAGATCCAAATATGGAATAAGACAAAACCAATAGCAGGAAGGCCTAACCAGAAGAGTGAGGAGAAGCAGACGAATCTGACCTGGAAGAAGATTGTGAAAGTTGCTTCCCCTCCCCCTGTCTGAGTGTCCAGGCTCTCTCCAGTGGTTGTGAGGGAAGGGTACGGCAGGAACACAGCACAGTGACTCACGGGCGCCGTTACACACACACACACACAGACACACACACACACACACAGACACACACACAGACACACACACACTGTGCAGCTTCTCTCTGCTCTGCTCAGCCTGGCACTTACAGGGCGCCGTTACACACACACACACAGACACACACACACACACACACACAGACACAGACACACAGACACACACACACACACACACACTGTGCAGCTTCTCTCTGCTCTGCTCAGCCTGGCACTTACAGGGCCCAGGACCTCCAGGCTCCTGAGGAAGCGCAGGACAGGGGCTGGCGGTGAGGCCACTGTCTACGGCACGCACATGGGCCAGTGAGCAGGAAGCCACATGGCAAAAGAAGACCCACACACTAGAACCTACTCCACCCCGCGCCCCATGACCGAGAGCCCTAGAAAAGACTACTGAGCGAGCGCTATGGAGAAGGATGTCAGAAAAGGATGTTTGGAAGTGTTGCCATTGTTTAAGTCATCTTTTGGCCAAAACCCAGGTAAACATGTTAAACAGTGTTGGAAATGCTCTTACAACTTGTTCAAAACTTTCCAAATGAAGAGTTTGAGCGCTTTAAAGTCCCTGGTTAAAAAATACAAAACTCTAACACGTTTCAATTAGTCTGCTATTAGAGAAGACGGAAATTTACTAGTCAGATTTCAACAAAAACCTTTGCATAATTGGCGAATAAAAGTGAATTAATAAGCATCATGACTTAACATGACCAGCAGTGCCCCTCCTCCGTTTAGAGTTTGGAAGCCACCTTTTTTAAGCCATGACGGTGCGTTAAAACCAACCATCAAATAGGCTGAACCCTGAATTACTGCATCACAGTCTTAAAACAACGTTTAATGCGATAAAGTGTTCATTATTTTCCTTAGAGACACTAGATATCAACTTTTTAATCGTTAACATTTTTAAACTTTTGTTTCACCTCATTCAAAACTTCTATTCTATAAAATTGTCATGTATGAAATTTTTAAATAAATATACATATGACGGTGTAAATGCAAACACCTTTCTAATAAGGGTTTACAACCCAAACGGTTGGTTCATTATTCAGTTTAGAGATATGAAGGCAGGTACCTATGAAGCTTAGATACTAAGAATATTCTTCTTTATCTTTTGTTATTAGTTTCAAACTGTCCAAACAATGATTGCTGTGGCTGCTCCATATTATGACTCTTACATTTCCCTAATCGTTCTAATCATTTCTAAAGACGGTAGCAAAAACCTTTACATTATGGAAAGTTCTACCTCTACAAAACCAAAGGCAATTCTGTGATTTTTTTTTTAAACATTGCAATGCAAGGTTTTCCAAGTCTAAAGGTAGGGGCTGGCCCAGTGGCATAGTGGTTAAGTGCACATGCTCTGCCTCGGCGGCCTGGGGTTCATGGGTTTGGATCCCAGGCACAGACCTACATACCACCATCAAGTCATGCTGTGGCAGCACCCCACATACAAAACAGAGGAGGACTGGCACAGATGTTAGCTCAGCAACAATCTTCCTCAAGCAAAAAGAGGAAGATTGGCGATAGATGTTAGCTCAGGGCCAATCTTCCTCACAATAAAAAAGTCTAAAGGTAAAAATGAAAAGACTGTCAAGAGCAAACCTTGTACCCAATCAATACAGACCCTGTTGCAGTAGTATTCCTCTGCCTGAGTCCACACACGGGGATGGACTGGAGAGCCCTTCCCTGGTTTTAACTCATAATAAATTAAGACCCCGTATCTCAGGAGAGAACCTAATTTGGGCTCCTTACCATACAGATCACTCTTGTGAAAATGGAGTAGAACTTTCCTTTCTTTCAATCTTGACATCATCAGAAATGATTCCCAAAACTCACTGGAATTAAAGCTGGGGCCTGTGGACTATCAGGCAGACAGGAGACTGGAGATTTACTCTGCTCCTGCAGCCAAACATCACGTAAATTTGAGGCCTTCCTCACCTCAGTTTTTTCCTCTGTAAAATGGGGTGGGAGGTGGTCTTCCAGAATAAAGTGGAAGGTTCCCTTTGGCTTTCCCAACCCAACATGACTTTGAACCATTTCAAACCCTTCAAGCAGTTTCAATTTAAGACAATGTGGCCTGTGAATTATTTTACCACATAGACAGTTTCTGGATCTTAATTTGTAGAACGTTTGGTAACACTTAACAGAGGGGAGCAGATGGTGCCTGGGTGACGTCCTGGATGCCAGCAATGGTCCGCTGCTGTTTGTAGTCTCCAACACTGCACCCTCAGTGACTTTCAAAGTCAAAATCAAACTGTGAATCTGAACTCTGTGGATGACTAATTGTGTGTACTGACATGGAGGGCTTCTGTAAAAGGTCTCATGCGTGCATGCTGTCATTCAAATAGGCAGTTTCCAAAACTATGGTGGTTTGTTCTTGTCAACATGGTTAAGCCAGAACTACCCTTCCCGGAGTCCCCTTCCCTGGTGGTTCTAAGTTCAAATTGGCTCAAAAACATGCTTATGTAAGATTTGGAAGGCAAAAGTGAAGCAAAGGCCATTTTCCTTCAAAGGTCATCACAGTCAAATGTGGGGACAGACACAGAGGTGCCTGGCCAGTGCCAGCTGGTCCTCATTCTCCTCCACTCCGCCTCAGCTCTTCTTCCCCAGTGCTGACCTAGGGTGGCCCCAGGCGCACCACTGAGCACCTGGCTGTAGATGCACAGAGGCAGTTGCTATGGCAGCGTCAGCTTCCCATAATGCTCGCTGCGCGCACCCCTGCCCGGGGTCACTTCAGCCTCCGTGCTTTGCACTCAGATGGACTAGCTGGTGACTGCTCTCAATTCACACATCTCTTTGTCACCCTCAGCTCCTCACATGGTGAGGCCTGGTCCACTTCCCGTAACAAATCCTGTATCCCACAGCACTCAGAGCAACTCCTCTCCCCTGATTCACCAACCAAACCACACACACAAATCCCCAAAAGGACATTGTGGTTCTATCTATATGTAACTCCTAAGAGGGCCCCAAACTGAGTGTCCCACATAGAAGATCTTTTTATACATATTCTACGTAACAGTGAGCTTCTTTAGGGATCATAATGTCTCAAGTCTAAGATGGAAGAAATCAAAAGACAGACAACCTCCAAGCACACACATGTGTATGCATATAGTTGCGTGCTTGCTTGGGGGAAAATATGATACCAAACTTACTTGGTTTAAAACTTTGTCTCTGGGCCAGCCCCAGTTGCCTAGTGGTTAAGTTCAGCATGCTCTGCTTCAGTGGCCTGCGGTTCGGTTCCTGGGTGCAGACCTACACCATTCGTCTGTCAGTGGCCATGCTGTGGCAGTGGCTCACCTACAAGAAGAGGAAGATTGCTCAGGACAAATCTTTCCAAGCAAAAAAAATTGCCTCTGTGAATCCTTATGCACTGATGTGAACTGGCTCTATGGTTTTCTTTCTCTAAGTCACAGGCTGAGACCCTGTCCAACCTGCAACCCACAGGCTCATGTCAACAGTCCTCTCTGCCCATCACAATCTCCTAACAACACTCACTGGCACATACAACTGATGGAGCTGCTCTCCTCAGTGCTACTATTCACACCCTGTGCAGAGGTGTCACAACATGACAAGCAATACTGGAAACACAGACGCCAGGACCTCAGATGGCTTCACTGATGGTTAGGCAATAGTCACACTTTGACCCACAGGTGTTCATGAGGCATTCTTTCAGTCCTGGGCTGAAAAGCAAAAACCCAAAGTTAAAAAAAACCCATAAAAGTACAGGTATGAATTATTTGTTTTATTGCTTTCTTCTTATTTAATACAGAGTCAATGTTTTTGAGTAATGATAAGATATCCAAAATTCAACATTATTAAACATTCAAACAGTACAACGTGTGGAAAGAGCCCTCAAATGTTAACTCCTCTAAGTTATATCTGGTGGAATAACTTGGAATAAAGGCTACTGGACTTGCCATCTTGGTTTATGAAGGGAACTGCTCTCCGCTGACACGAGGACAGGAAGAGTCCCAAATGGCAACCAACTGTTCAGGCCCTGGTGGCGGCACATTTGTCTCCCTTTGAAATGTCTGGAGAGATCGATAATGATTTCAAATATGAAAATCCTTCCTTTCACCTCAGGCTTAAAAGACACGCCCACTACTGAGGGAGTCAAAAGAAACTCCTGTGGAATAAAAGCGATGATGATGATGAAGACCAGAAAGGATTCTGCTGTCAAGCAAGTGATCCTTGCCTACCTGGTTCTTCTCTAACCTGATCCTTTATAAGAAAACAACTCACTCTGAGAGAGGCCTCACACAGGGAGCGGGTGAAACCAGGACAACTGTGAGTGGCTTTTTGCTTGTTGAAGGCACAGGGTTCTCCTCTTCCTGAGGGAGCGGGGTCACTGTGTTGTGAGTTATGTTCAAACACACATCCTACTTCTGAAAAACTGCCCTCAGCTGCCATACATTTGATTGCAATTTCAGGCTGATGTCTTTTTTGAAAGTTCCAGAATCTGTGGCACCCCTAAAAAGTCCTGATATGGCTGCTACTTCTGCAAGGAAACAGATTCTGAAGGGCTGGAGGCTCAAAGGGACACACAGCTGCATGACATCAAACAATGGCAAAAATAAATATACGACTCTAAAATATGGATATGAAACACCACAAAGAAATAAATATCTCAGACTCTACAACTGCGGGTCACACGCTAGCAATACCTGGTAGAGCCTTAAAAATGGTGATTTTCCCATAAAACATTTATTGACAATGACTTTGGATCAATAGTTAAGAGGCTAAGCAAAAAATGTATGAAAATGCTATTTTTTTAAAAAGACAAACATCATTAGATACCAAGGATAGTGATCAAATCCAAGATGTCAAATTTAAAGAAATCACTTTTGCTCTTTCCCAATGGTCATCTGGGCCTTCTGCAACAAGAATGGACAAGGGCCAACTGCACGCCTTGCCGGTGATGCTGAGGGTGTAGTCACACAAACCTCCTTGGAAGAGCGACGGACCTACGTCTTCGCCAGAGGAAAGACCTGGAGCCCTTCCTGCTTTTGCAGCTCCACAGTACTACGGATGCTCTTTACAAAGAGTGAAATCGAAAAAAGAAACAACATGGAAACACAAAGGTGCATTTATTCACGTCCATGCCATCTAAATCTACTGAGTACAGGAATCAGGACCAGAGAAGGGACAAATTAGAACCTAAACAACAACAAAAACACCGGGACATTCGCCCCCCTGAATTGCAAGTTTTAGTTTAGAAGAATCTGCATGCTGGCAAGCCAGTTTCCTCCCTGAGAAGCACGCTTCACGCTTCGTTCTCTCCCTCCAGCATCCTCTGTGTTTCTCAATTAAGGCCTGGACAGTGTTGGGATGGTGTTGCAGGGTCTCCTCGGGAGCCATGCTCTGGCAGGGTGCTGTCCTCTGTGCTGTCAGTCGCCTGTGGGCTCGGGCTGTGTGAGGTCAGGGTCGGCACCGCCTGGCTGTGCAGTCTGCCGCCGAAGCTCCTCCACCATCTGCAGCAGGGCTGACCTCTCCAGCTCTAGGGCAAGGCTGGCCTGCTTCAGCTTGCTTTCGCTGGTCAGAAGCTTCTCAACTGTGGCTTCGAGGCTTTGGATCCTACCATTTGCCACCTGCAGAATAAAAGAAGAAATGAGAAGGGAACTGCCTAGTGATAACACAGAGGGATCCACTGTACTCTCCCACTGTCCAGCCTTGAGGGCACTCTGGCACCGAGACGAGTCTAGTGTTTACTATCGGTTCTTCTGGTCACACAGGAAGACTACATTTCCCGGATTCCCTTACAGGCAGGCTCGGCCACCCTGAGATCCTCCAGCATGTTCTTCCCCTGTTGTGGCTACTTTGGAAGTGATATGTTGAGATGGTGGCTTCAATGTGGAGGGAGCCTGATCCCCAAGTCACCCACTCCAGGAAGGACAGCTCTGATATGGCCAAAGAATGCTTGATGAACAATAGGGAGAGCTTCAAGGGCAAAAAGACTTCTGTTGTGCTAAGCCACCGAGATCTGAAGCTTTATTACTGCGGCACGGCCGGGCCTCTGTTGACTAATACACATATTTCCACGAACCAATTGACTTTAGACTGACAGTTATAACAGTTTCTGTGTGAAGGCCCAAGTAGTAACAGCTCTCTAATCTGAAACTGTTTTTATTTTCCTTACAGTAATGAGACATCATTACTATGTCAAGAAACATGGGCATTTCCCCCAGAACACATGTGGTGTGCTCAGGATAGCCAGGCATTCTGCTCAGAGGTTCATGGGCCTGGCCTCACGGATTGGTCACCACCACCAGAGAGGTAAGCACTGTTGTCACTCCCAGCCAGTGCACATCCTCAGCACCCAGCAAACAATTCATGTCAGGCGGAACTTCCGGGTGCCTCCCTCTAGCAAATGTCCCTCCTCCCTCTAATCCACTAGGGCCGGCTTCCCAGGTAACAAGTGAGTTGGCGCTAGTGAAGCCGAGGGGTTTTCTCAGAGAACCACAGAAAGTCCGACCTCTACATTGCTGTCCACGAGGCCTTTCTGGCCTGCTCCTCAGCTCACGGCTGCATGTGCAGTGCTCACGTCAGGGGTCAGTAAGGTACTGCTCTACCTCGTTAACCCAGTCCACTCCTCTGCACATCTCCATTTATTTTCTCGCCCATTTTCAAAACAAGGGAAACAGTTTTTTGAACAAGATAACACTTGAGCCAGAAAGAGAATTCATGACTCAAAGTCTAGCTCTGGTTGTGCCACTGGAACACTCAAAATACAAGGACAAAGGATTGAGACCCAAGTTTGTCAGCCTGCCAGGCAAGGGGTGGTCACGATTGGTGTACATCTGCAAGTAGTACTCTGACCCCCTGAATCCTACCCATGGGCAAGGCCTGGGATGGTCCCACCTTATCCCCACACAGGACTGCTCAGTCTGAAGTCCCACAGCACCCCCAGGTGCACCAGACAGCTTAGAAGTGAGCTGTTTTGCACGGTCATTTATGGCTCTGCATGAATGTCAGGTCTCCTCAGTGAGATGGAGCTCTTTCATGGAAGAGAGCACGTCTCATCCTGCACATGGTCTGGCCTCCCACGGCACCTAGCTCGTGGGTGCTCAATGACTTGTGGTTAATTATTATGGAAAACGTACGCCCATTAGTATTTGGCACCATTTGACCTGTCTATGCAATCGTCCTATGTATGCTGCTGGACAAAACAGGTTAAACAGTTTGGTCTCCAGCTGCTAGACAACATTCTTAGGTGTTTAACAAGAAAATAAATGGGAAAAATAAATAAATAAACATATAGTTGAGTATGTCTAAAACTATATGAATAGAACAAAGCTAAAAAACAGGTCAATTTTGATACTTTGGCAAAAAACAAAGACTTACGTTAGAGAATTAAGTACTATTGTATTGAACACCTATCTTTGTACTCTGAAAACTGTTTTAAAAAAAAGAAAAAGAAAGGAGGTGTGAGTCTCACAGAACTTATATAATCTGGCTGAAAGAAAGTAAATCCATGTGACTCACAGAGGGTGATGGGAAAGCTAGATTCAAGCACCTACAAATTGACACACCACAATCCCATCCCAATTCTTTGAGAGCGGCAGCGTTATGAATCTTGCTGGCCCCTGCCACCCAGCCCAGCAAGGACTCTAAATACTGGTGGATTGGCATAAGCTGCAATCTTGAACGACACCTCTGGAAGTGCAGAGCCACTGGGTCCAGAGAAAGACCACTGCAAGAAGAACATCTGTTATGACCAACTGCCGCTCGATGCCTTTCTTGAGGGATGTCGCTATCTGGACAGCTCATCACGACTCCCCCTCTTCACAAAACGGGTACAGTGTCACCGCAGCAACATATAATTACTCCCACCCTCATCACAAAGAAACCACATGGGCACTAGCCCAATAAAATGAAGCTTTTATTTGAGTACTACTACCTCAATGAGCCAAATGCTTCAAATGCAAGTCTGAGCTTTGTTAGAAAGCTTTTGTTAGAAAGGTTGCCATCGTGCTGTATTTCAGGGACCTACTGTGTGTTTGGAGATCATTTAAAATTACCATCTACACTGCAGACCCTTCCAGGCCGGATGAGGCTCTTTATTCCCTTGAGTCTTCCCTCTGGTTACAGCTGAGACATCCTGGGGAAATCGTCCACAGTCATATTTTCAGTTAGGATGTCTCAATCTTAGGGGGAAAAAGGAAGCTAAGTTTCAGAAGGTGACTGTTTGTTAGGACTGAGGGTGGAGAAGGCATTTTTCTTTGTTCCTCTACAGTAAACAGCTACGAGGGTCTACTGGGCACGCCCCTGCTGGGGGGAACGCGCCTCAGGCCAGGGTTGACTTATTAGGCTCTCAAACGCTAGCCTTTCTCACATCACTGCCAAGCTTGTGCCTGCAAAGTGGCAACTTTCGATGGAGAAAAATAAGAGGCTCAGATCAGGACAAAAAGAGGACAGCCCAGGAACACAAAGAAATACATATTTTGGGAAAAAATATGTATTTTTCTCTGCAGCAACAGAAAAAAATTTTTTAAATATCCCTAAAACAACACAGCATTACCACCCATTTATGACCTTAAAAATGCAGACTGTGTGGTTACTTTATTCAACTTGATTGGTAAAGGAGCCATGCTAAGCACTTAGGTATTCTTTTTGTCCTTGTCACACAGACAAGGGAATCAGGACAGGTCAGCGGTCTGCCCAGGGTGACAGTGTGGTGGCGCCAACAGCGGATCTGGCAAGATCCAGGTCTCTGGACTGCATCCCATGCTCGCTCCATCTCACCCTTCTGCACACATGGTCTGTGTATGTGCCCTTCTCCTGTCTGATATGTTCCACACTTATCCATGGTAAAATGGACGCTTCTAGATCGGAGAACTGTGTGCTTCATTAACCAAACCTTTCTATTTCCCCCAAGGACTCATAAATCACGATCATATGCTCTGGTTTACTTTGTTGGTAGATTTCTGTGTCACTTTCCTCTCTTAATATCCATCTGTGGACCTAGCTGGTTTTGCTCACAGAAGGTCAAGCCTTTGATTCTCCTGTCACTACAAAAAGCACCACTGCTGGCACTCAGCTAATAGCACCATGGCATCCTGAACCCAAGTTCATCTCTGGGCCTGTCTCCTAAAAGGGTTTGTGCAGAAGCAGCCTCTCAGAAAACTCTAGGACCGTCTGACCTCAGCAAAGCATAATCTGCCTGCCCCTAATCAAAAGGCCCAACTCTCCTGGGATACCTTTGATCCCAACTATAAACACACTGGGGAGAGAAAGGTCCTGTGGTCATGGGAAAACCCAGCCTGCTGGTGCCTTTGGTGAGTTAATGAACGACCACACGCTCGGGGTTCAGGAAGCTGCTTCACACACGCTCTACCTGCAGCTGTTCAAGGAGGTCAAGGTTCTGTTTGCGTAAGCTGCTGTTGGTTTTCTCTAATTTGTCCATTCTTTGGTTGTCACTGAGAGGGGAGGAATCGATAAGTTCTTCTTGAAGCACGTGGTACTCAACTTCATAAGCTTGTAACTGTTTAGAGATGTCCATCTCAAACACCTGTTAAATACAGAAAAGTCATCAGGCAATGAACATGAGAAAAATCACACACACTCACACACACAGGTGACCATGTCAACGAGCATCCACTAAGCACTTACTCTGTGTCTGGTACTTTCAGTGAAAACTAAGGAAAACTCTCTGCACCGAAAAGGTAAGAATTTTACTTGGGAAAAAAATGATATAAGAAGCACTGAGAAACAAGCCAAAGTAACAGTAGGCATGGGTCTCTGATAAGTCATTTTCCAAAAGCCAAAACCTTATTTTTGAAAAGGCTTATAAAAATTTATTTTTAGTTCTTATTCTAGTACTTACTTCCTTTTTCTCTGAAAATTCTATTAGGTTAGCTACATAAACTATGGGTCAAAGGGAGAAAAAAACAAAGCAAGAGAATCACAGCCCTATTTGCCCAGTCACCCAGTCAAGGTTTAATGATAGTTCAGCTGGGTTTTCAGAGTACCAAGAACAGCTAAGTAATGGAACTGTTTACTAAAAACCCTCCTTTTCACACACGATATACAGAAATGAGCCAAAACCCAAATGTCACCCACACGGATGAGTGAATACGAAACAATGCCTGAGTTGCCTTCCTTCCCATAATAGTAACGGTGATGAAAAAAACCACCCGTGTGAAAAACAACCCCAAGGTGCACGAATGAGTGAGCTGTTCATGCCGGTACTTTCTCTTGGTGAGTGAGTTTGGTGGAATGACGAGGGGGTCAGAAGGCAGATGCTCCTGCTGCCCAGGGCACCTCCCCCACCCCATTATTTCTGTGGGATCACCCCAGAGCTATGCTTCTCAGCACAGGAGTGAAGGCCCAACATGGATTTGGGGGAGCTGCAATTTCAGACACCACGTAAAAAAAAGCCAGCATGATCAGAACACACATTTAGAGAATGAAGTTAGACTTTACAAGAGCAGAAACTGACTCTTCACTGCATTTCCTTAAGAAAGAAACTTGAACATAGTTAAAATCAATGAAAAACTCATTTCCTGTGTTGGCACCCTATGAGCATTCAAAAATAGATGATTCCTATTTTCCCTGAAAGCAGTTTTCCAAAACCATGTTCACTTTCTCATCATTCCCAACAGTCTCATTTTCTCTTCCTTGAGATTAACTTTTCAGCTTCCTGGTTTTCAGTTTAATTCAATGGGCAACACTAATTAGGCACAGAAGTCATTCTATGCTGAAAAACTAATCCACGTATCTCTGGCGTGTGTGTGCAGAGCAGTTTACTGTATTGATCTGCTTCTCCGTTGTCCCTCTGAGTGACTGTGAGGTCAGCAGGGATGCTCACATCTACTTTACCGTCGAGGAAACTGACTCAGAGGCTTTGACTCAGCCCTGGAATCGGGGCTCCAACTGGCAAATCCCTGAATAACTTTGAACAAGTTGCTTGACCTCTCCCAGTCTCGGCTCCCGGCCTCCAACATGAGGGTGAAAACACCTCCCTCCCAGCATGGCTGTGGGGTTTACAAGAGACAACTCCCGGAAGCTCCCAGCACGTGCCCAGCAGGTTGAGTAGGCGCTCACTCAGCTAAGGGATCTGCTTTCACACACTTGTCATGAAACCCTCACATCCAACCTTGTGCTTCAGCAAAACTACAAAGGATGCCACATCATGAAACTTCTGATTAGCTCAAACAGAGTAAAAACCACAAACAGTAAAACCGAGATTGCCATGGCATTAGCATGTAATTATACATATGGTGCAGAATAAATGTTATACACACAGTTACTTTTTTTTTCCCCACAAGGATTTATTTTTGAATGAGCTCCTAAATTGGAAAACCTGGGAACAAAACCTCTGGCCTTTTATAGACACTGATGCTCTGCCAAGGTTAATGGCTCTCTCGCTGTGCCCAAAGCTGCATACTTTCAGACCTCCACTGATCCCTAGGAAGCACCCTGCCCGTCATAATCATCTCTGCCTCATGGCATCACTATCTCCTGGCTGCCAGAACACTTACAGCTCTTGATTTTGTAGTTATGCCCTAGAATTTATCCCAAAGCACGGCAGTATGTGGCTGGTGGTTAAAGGAGGGCCCGGGTCCTCAAACAATGCTTTTTCAAGTTGCTATCTATTTTTCATAACCATAATTATAAACGGCTTCATGGTATTCTACCAACTTGACATATAACCATGTTAATCCATCCATCAAGTGTTGGCTATCTAGTTCCTTGAAAGTCTTTGTTGTTATAAATGACAACTCTAAATATCCTTGTACATATGGTTTTCCCCATATTTTGGATTATTTCCTAAGGACACATTCCAAGAAATGGGATTACTGAGTCAAAGGGTAGGAATATTTTACTGGCTTGTGACATGTATTGCCAAATTGCTTCCCAAATGGGAATAATCAACTTACAATGCCATTAGCAAAATACGAATGTGCCAGATACAGTATACCCTGGGCACTGCATATTCGTATTAAAAAATTCCATTTTGTTAATCTAGTAGGTAAAGCATTATGTTATAGCTAAATATTTTCCCAGATATTCATTTTACTAGACGAAGATCCTCGTTAGTGAATTGTCTGTTTACTTTCTTGGTTCATTTGCTATTGGAGACTCAAGTGTTTTTCTTTGCAGTCTGTGGACACTCGGTATAACGAAGCCATTATTAACCTTGATGTCTGCAGAACTAGCCACATACTTTCCACCTTCCCAACCCCCAGACCCTGCCCCCCAATCTGTGGGTCTCTGTCACACAACGAATGCTGGACAGTGGAGCAGACGGCCCAGGTAGTGGCAATAAGGGGGCGCAGTGTCTGCAGTGAATTTAAAAATAATAATGAACCCAACCAACAACTGGTCTGCTTTTTATTATCACCACATGCAAGCAATTCTCAACAATGCCAGTGGTAAAATATTCCTCCCCACTGTACCCCAGCCTCTTGACTGCCCTTTTCAAAAAGTGCTCATTTTCAACAAAGCAAACTGCCTGAGCAGCGAGGGCTTCTCCCAAGGTTTCACCACTGCGATGCTGAGGAGCGTCTTCGGAACAAAGGGACCTTGTTAAGATTCTGGTTTTTATCCTACAAGCGCAACTAGAACGGGGAATTGTCTAGTGTGTTTACAATGCAGCTGCCCATAATCGAACTTCTCAATGTTTGCATGAACCCCCTGGGCACCTTGTTAAAATGCAGATTCTGACTCAGCAAGTCTGGGGTGGGGCTTCACATTCTGCGTTTCTAACAAGTTCACGCATGAGACAGTGATGGTGCTGGTCTGGGGCCACACTTTGAAGAGAGTCCAAAGGATGTTAAAAGAAGGCTATTTGCCAGTCTCCTAAAGCCCCCTTTCAACTCTTTCTCTTCTTGACACTGAACTGAGGCTGCACAGGCAGAGGCACTCACTGTGACAGGAATACAAACTGACCTCCTTCTCTTCATTTCTGTTATTGCCAGGGAGTCCCCACTTCTTGGATCAGAGGATTTTTAGGGCTTACGTTCAACTGACAGTTAATTCACACTGAGGAACTACCACAGAGCCTAGAGACCCTTGTCCTTCTGCTCTGGACCCTGTCAACTCAGAATTGGCCCTTCCCAGCTTGTCCACACTCAGCCGGAGCTCCAGAGCCCTGTCCTTAGCTACCTTCTCCCCGAATCTGGAGCAGGCTGTCTCTCACTGCTCAAGCTGAGGCCATCTACAGAGAGGGCATGTAATGAAATGGAGCCATGGCTATCACAGAGGACTACCCAGACTCCGCCCATCCATATACACACAGAAGGCCCAGTTGTGGGCAGTGAATGCATCTGTCACTTCCACCCTGTGGACCTCCCAGATTTGAGCCTGGGGATTCTCTAAGGCAGCAGAGGAACTGCACTGCACCTCAGGCCTCATCTCTGAGTAGGACTTGAGACTAGAGCACCCTCTGGAGGGGAAGGGGCAGTGAGAGTGCAGAAAGGCTAACGGAGCGTCCTCAGACGTTAAGTTCCACAGGAAAAACACGAGAGGGGAAAAAGGCAGCGAGCTGCCTGGCATTATTACTGTTTCCCATCTGAGACTTTTGTAGAATGAAAACCTGGGCCCCAAAATGGAGATTTTTGTGTTCCCGACACTGACTCTCCCAACTGCCAACTTCCCCTCAAAAGCTGAACCCGTCAGGCATCTAGAATTTCTTTCTCACCCCCGCGCCTTTGCATGGGCGGTGATCAGGGGTCAGCAAACTACAGCCTGTGGACTGACTCTGTCCTACTGCATATTTTTGTAAATAAATTTTCAGTGCAACAACTTCACTTCTATACATATCGTCTGTGGCTGCTTTCGCGCTGCAAAGGCAGAGCTGAGTGGTTGCAGCAGAGACCTTATGGCCCACAGAGCCTAAAATACTTACTATCTGGCCCTCAGCAACAAACGTGTGCTGAGCCCTGTCTCAGCGCATTCTTTCAGGCCCAGCTGAAAACTCCCTCAATTCTCAAGCGTGAGCAGCACTCCACCAGCCTCGCTCCCACATGCCTTTGCAAGAGCACCACTGTAGCTCTCACCATGCCTGAAATTACTGGATGACGTGCTCATGTTCTGCATAGGATGCACCTTGGTGTCAGAGACATTACATTCTTGGCTCTGCCACTTTACACAGGGTGCTGGGCATGTTACTCTCTCCATGCCAAGTTCTTTCTGTCTATAGAAATGCGTGTTATGAGACATGTCCCAGAGTTGCTAAGGGGTTGATGGAACAAAAGATACCAAGTTCAAAATGGTTGCCTGAAACAATCAGGCACACATACAAAACTGTTCTCTCTCCACACTGTGTCCATTTCTACTCTTCCAAATTTAAAGAGCACCTCATAGTCTCAGTAAGTATCCGTTTACAGAAAAGGGGAGGAAAACGGGATTTTTTTTCTGGGGGTCAATATGGGGGGTAAACGAAATGTCAGCCGAGACTGCCTGCTTTAGAGCCAGGTGCAAAGGCACTCGCTGGGCACAGACACTGGGGTACATGGTAACCAAGGCCCTCTGCACTCGCCCCAGCAGCCAGAACACATACGTGTGAGCAGTGAAAGCTCTAAGAGAATAAATGCATGCAAATGCCAGAAGTTAAAGAATCAAAAGGGTGGAGAATTCTGTACTAATGTACAGGTAAAATATAGAAAGCTCTAATCAGACGACACCCAGAGGCACCTGGCAGGGTGGAGTTAGCTGCTCAGTCACTTCGAGGCAAGAGGACCAGAGTTTGAAACCCTCCCTTCCCCCACTCCTCCGCAGGATGACTGTGGGCAGTTAGTTAACCACTTTGAGCCCTAGGTTCCTCATGGGTTAAAACCACCTCTCCTCTCCGGAATGCGGTCACGACTAAATGAGATCATGTGTATATACAGATTCACACAACCTGGCAAAAAGTAGGGCCTCAACAAGCCAAAGCTGTTCACACTGAGAGGGACGTGCCAGGGAAGTCAAACACAGAGAGATGTGGAGCCTACCAATTAACTCAAGATGAGAGGGCAGAGCGGGAAAGAACTGTGCTTTCCCACAGGCATATGGAGACGTGCGGATGTCCAAGGTAACAGTCGGCATGAAACCCGCGTCTTTTTCCAGGCCAGACTTGTTCCTTTTTCTGTGCTCAACACCTAAGGAGGGGTAGCAAAGGAAATCACAAATGCCACATCTGGGTGCAAACCACGGGAATCACTGGATTCCTCTTGGACGATCAGAAATTCTCAAAATAAGGATTTTTTTTTTACAAATAGCTTTATTTCACGATCTGCTTTTACTTAATTGCTCTGTTTTCATTATATATGGAGCAGGTGAGGCAAGTTCTAGGCTTATGAGAGGGCTGACTGATGACTCTGCAGTGCCCCAATGCAGAAATCTCTTCCAAGAGCATTCTTAGCCATCCAGCCTCTAGCCACTTCCAACAGTGACCTCATCTCCTCTGCTAAGCAGTTAAGTCCTTCACAGTCAGCAATCATTACTGGAAGATTCTTCCTTATAGAGTCAACATCTGCTCCCACCTCTAACCTAGACCATTTAACAACTGGTTTAGTCGTAATTCCCAGGTCAGTTCACCCCTCACCTCTAACATTTCAGACAGTAACGGTTCTACTGTACACAGAGACCAGAGCTGCTGAAACCACAGACACAGAAGTGAATTCTATTTAAAACAAACACACACACAAAAACACAGGGCCAGCCTGGAGGCATAGTGGTTAAGTTCCCACACTCTGCTTCGGCGGCCAGGGGTTCACAGGTTTGGATCCTGGGCACAGACCTAGCACCACTCAACAGGCCATGCTGTGGCAGCATCCCACAATCAAAAGAGAGGAAGTGTGGCACAGATGTTAGCTCAGCAACAATCTTTCTCAGGCAAAAAGAAGAGGTTTGGCAATGGATGTTAGCTCAGGGTCAATCTTCCTCACCAAAAAGAAAAAAAAAACCCACCTCTCCTGTGCAGAATGCAGACACTTATCATGGAACAAACTTAAAGAATATATACTCTCTATCACAACTTTGCTATCAAAGAGTTATTTTCAGAAAACTCCAATTAATACCATCCAGCAGAAAAATTAAATCACTCATTTTACAAAAAATGTATGTATTTCAGAACAAATGCCTGGGGTGAAACCTCTTAATTGTAAGAAACTACTGAGAATTTGTGGTTATCACACCTAAACACTGCCACTATGTTCCCATGTGGCTTTTCACCATTACACTGACAGCACACACTCCGACATGCATTTAATCACTGAGCACATATTTGCCATGTTCCTCCTACATGCCAGGCATTACACAAGCTGCTCAGAATACAAAGGAGCAGGAAACAGGGCCTGCTCAAAAAAAAAAAAATTAAGCTTCTACATATTCAGGATTGCTTAAGCCTTTGGAAGGTTCGCGCTGAGTGATACCTGATTGATGGTCTTTTCCATTTGCACCAAGCCCAGGTTGGGTAGTGTGTTTTTTATAAAGTCAACTATGGTTTCCAGGTTTTCATGCTGCAGAATCAAGGGCTTATGGCTTCCCAACAAACTTAATGCCACTTTAAACATGACCTCGGATCCCTGAAGAAAGATCATATCTGGGAAAACAGAGAAATGCAAAAAGTTAAACCAGACCAGTTTCTGATGAAATACCACTCCCATTTCCTTTTCCACACATCACAGAGCAGGACGGTGGGAAATGTAACCGGAAATTGCAAACTTTATTTCCTTTTTAAGATCCTAATGTTTCAGATAGCGTTGTCAACACAATATTGCAATATTTGAATACTGCAAGTAATAAAAAAAATAGGTAAACATATTACTAAGATTTTATCACAGGTTCAGATGAATCTTTTTTTTTGCTCCAAAAATATGTTAAATTCAAGCATGCTTCCAAAGTTAAATTGAGAAAAAGAAAACTTATTAATCTATTTTTCCAGGAATGCTCTGGATTTTAAAGGAGCTACTAAAACATATGTTTTTATGGCCCAAACTGAAAGAGTTTATAGATATATCATCAGAAATTAAGATAGAGTAAGTGAAAAATCCCCTTGCTTTCTCTGTTGAAGGGGAAATAAAAGATGTCTAAAAACTGTAAAAAGTCTGCACAATTGCAAAGTACATTATTAAATACTGTGAAGTAGACTGAATTTTAGCATAAAAATGGAGTAAAAAACATGTTTTCCTCTGAGGAATTTAAGAACTTTGTCAAAGTTATTTTCTAGTCCTTGCCATATTTTTTTCTTAGAACAGTTGGCAAATGTTAGCAAATCCTATACTGAGTGGACACAGTGAGAGGGAGGTCAAGTGGCCGAGCCAGCCCAGGCCTGGCTGCCCCTTCCTCACAGAGTCCGAGCCAATGTCCTGGGGCTAAAGCACAGCCCTCGTAACCAATTGTTGGGTGACTAGATTCAGACATGTTACCTAACAACTGGAAAAATAATATAAGAAAAAACATAGTTTTAAAGATGATTAGAGGCAACTGTCAATATTTCTTTTCTCTCTTTTTTTTTTTGGTTGTAGGATAATGGAAGAGACAAAGAAGTAAATTTCAGTAAGTCCAGGAAGACAAAAGCAGATGAGAGAAGAATCCCCAGCATGTGCCTCTCCAGGTGGTTTAGTGGGATGACATGTAAAAGCCATTAAGAAACAGGAAGGCAAAGGTTGAATGCTGCCGTGCAAATAGGAAAGGTGGCCAAGTCCGAGCCGTCTATGGACAGCGCACAGGAGAGATCCAGGCACCGGCTGGCTGGGTTAGCCCTGGAGATGCTCTCTGTAACCGTCACATAGGCCTTAAGCACGTGAGCGGACCTGGTGGGGTCTGGGGGCAGCCTTAAGCAATGATGCCACTGAGGCTAGCCTGTCTCTCTCGTAGAGCTAAGGGCCACAGCTCCCACCAACACCACGGCTGCTTGCGGTCCAGGGCAGCCCCAGGAAACAGGAGAGGACCAAGGCTGCCTCCTTGTTAGGTCTGGCCATGGAGGCTGGAAAGATAAATTAGAGAACTGACTGTATCTTTAAAATTTGAGCCTCTTAGGGGAAGTATGACCTGTATCAAGGCATCACGGCGGGTGAATATTCCTGTGCAGTGTCTGCTTCATAAAATACATAGTCTACCCACTTAATTCACCACTACAGCAAATAAGATCTAAAATAGCACTATCATCAAGATGTAAACAGAAATGACATTTCCAAAAACAAAGCAAAGCAAATTTGAAGTTTCTGCGGTTTAGATAGTAAGACTTCCTTTCAATATAGGAACACTTATAGCTGAACAAAAATTGATGGCCTTATCAGAATAAACATCAAGACATTCTGTGCAGGCGTCCCGGGGAAGGCACTGCACTACCAGACCAATGACCGGCCACAGCTTGGCATCTTTAGTCTCTGAGGACAAGTATCTTCAAACTAGATACAGTACCGCATGCAAGCCAATTAAGATAAATCATTATTGGGGAACTTCTATGAGCGTAATCGAGTATGCAGTCCACATCAGCAGTCTCTTAAGGTTAACAACAGGCCTTCCAAGTTTTATTCCTTTAGGATCTTGGTTTTTCTAACAAATCTCTCCTTAGTAGAGTGCTTCCTAAGAGTCTAAACTCAGACTTTTTGGACAGTATGAAGAAAAGAAAAAGAAGGCTGGAGGGCTTTTGTTGTTTTTTTTAAACTCTATTGGTATGTTAAAAAAATAAAACTCTGGATATGTTTATTTCATTAGATCAACTGTAGTATTTAATGTAATAATAAAGAAATGTTCTTTCCTAATGCTGTTCTCAACACCTTAAGAATACTCCTAACCGCTGAGAAGTTTCTCCGCTTCATTCACTGAGCATCAGACACACGGCAGGCATTGTCCTGGACACTGGGGATTAAGCCACGAACAAAGCACAAAGAACAAACTGCAGAGACACGGACAACTCTTGGTTTGGTAGAGTTATGCCCCGGGTGTTAGGAGAACAAAAGGGAAGAAAAAAGTCCAAGGAAAGGTGGCTGCCAAACCGCACTGGAAGAACCAAGAGAAACTTGCTAGGTAAGAAGTCAGGGAATAACACCGTGAGCAGAAGGGAGAGAAGGTGTAAATGCAGAGAGGTGTGAAAGAACCACACCATGTGTGCCGGAGCCAGAAAAGAGTGTGGTAAGAGCTCTGGCTGGGGGGCGGAGCAGGGGCCAGACCTCAACGGCTTTTTGCCCAGGCCGTGCGTTCTAACAACCCAGCGTACTAGGGGTCACTGAAGGCTTTCTGTTCTTTTTTTCTGAGTCGGTGAGTACACCAATAAGGAGATGATATAAATGAGATCCAGGTTATGGGTCTGATCCTTGCAAGAGTTAGCTAGCTTCTAAGAGCCTCTGGCAAGAGCACGCTGATTCCCACCAGCAGACTCACAAGGGCACGCTGCCAGCTGTGAGATGTTCGATTCACCAGCACTCCTGGAGGCCCGCTCCAGGCACGCATCTTTCTGAAGACGAGTGGGCTGGTTGTCTGCACTAGTGAGGCTGGGAAAGCTCAGCCCTAGAAGCTTCTGTTATGCTGGGGAAGCCTCAAGTAAGGAGTTCACTGGGGTGCACAGTGAAGGAATGTGACTGACAGGTGGAAGGAAGGATCACTGAAAGTTCTGCTTGGAGGAAGGGGCTCCTAAATCTATCTGACTACACTTGGGGGGCAACATCTATATCCTTTAAACAGTGAGTGCATTTTTCTCCCTCTGGAAATCTAAAACATTAAGTAATTTTTAAGTAACAGTAAAGAAAAATGTTACCTATAAACCCACTGCCCCAACCCAATTATTTTCACTTTTCCCATTTTCCAATCCTTATACATTCACATTATAGAACATTTTTTAGAAAAAACAATCTCCGTGGAAAAGTGAATTAATGTCCCACACTTGAAAAATCACTGCACAAGAAAGGGAACAGCTGGCGCAGGAGCCCAGCTCACAACACTGTGGCCCAGTTCCTTTCTTCTCTCCTGTTTCTAGCCACCTAGAAACAGGAAGAGGATTTTCTTTTTTAAAGATTGGTAACAGAAGTTAGCTCAGGTACCAATCATCTTTTTTTTTTTCCTTCTTCTCCCCAAAGCCCCCCACTACATAGTTGTACACTCTAGTTGCAGGTCCTTCGGGCTGTGCTATGTGGGATGCTGCCTCAGTGCTGCCTGATGAGCAGTGTCATGTCCACGGGAGCTGAGCATGCGAACTTAACCACTGGGCCATGGGGCTGGCCGCAGGCAAAGTTTTATCAGGCAGGAAATAGACAGAACCTTAAATTCATCTGATCTCACCACTCTGCCGATTATTTGCTGAGAACAATACAAGTAACTACTTTCCTCTGAAGACACTGCAGCAGCCCTGTTACTGTGTTAACGTGTATGGGAACTCTATTTGGAACTCCCTGGGATATAAAAGTGCAATTTTCCTATGGGGGAAATGACAGACGCCAAGCACAGGGCCAGTAAGCAAACTTGCACGGCATCTCTTTTCTGGGTGGCTTTGTCTTTGTCAAGGTCAATCCCTCTCTCTAACCTTCTCCTGGGAGGCTGTAGTCGTCCAGGTGTGACACCCCCACATTCCTACCATGAACGGGTAGAAGGAAAATGAAAGATGACAGCCTTGCAGCAGAGCAATAGCACCAGCAGACTTTGCAAAAACTCACTTCGTCACCACTGGATTACGTTACCCAAAGAGCCATTTGTCCTGGCCGTATCAACGATCTTGTTTTCCCAGTCTGTTTTAGTCCTAACGCCTCTCTGATCCTTCCCTACATTACAAGGGGCTTCTGTGCTTTTTGCCAAACCTTTAGTTTTTACATTCCACCTCCTCTCTCATCTACTGGGCGGCACATCTTATAGAAAACATCAGGAGCCTGATACCGCAGCCTCCTCCTCCATCAGGAGCAGACCAGGCCCTATTTTTCAGATTTTTTCCAAAGGTAGATATGATTGCAAGGTGAATAAGGCAAGAATCTCTCCTGGGACCCTCTACACCCAAATGGGAAAAATATAGGAGGCGGCTATTTCACATTATGTGACAGCCAGAGAGAAGGACTGACATTCAGGGAAATGTGATTACCAGGTGATGGTTAAGGCACATCCATCATCGGCAGCGGTCCCTCCAAGTATATTATACATAATTCAAGGTAATCTATTAATATATGAGCTACACTGACTGCAAGCTGAGAATCCTTTACCTATATATAAAACTGTGACTGGTTAACAAAGGTCCATTTGTTTTTAGGCTTATCCAGGCCTAAAGGCTTATAATAAAATGGGCTTCAGGCCAAAAAAGACTGCAGTGTATGAACAGAAGGCTTTGGGATTTAAAACGAAGCTATTCACCATCAAGGAACTAAACAAACACGGTTCAAGTCACTGATGCTAAATACAGAAATGGTTTTTAAAACATCTAACTTTTCTATGAAACCTACTAATAAAATGGTTTTTCAGTACTGGTAGATGGTATGGATTGTGCGAAAAAACAGCAGTTTTTGCAAAGTGACGTCACAACATAGTGCTGCCTTGAGTTCCCTCTTCCTGCCTCTAATCTGAGGAGCCCCAAGCCCTTAGCCAGCTGGACATGCCCTCACTTCGGACAGCAGGGGTGTGTGGGATCCAAGAATTATACAGACACTGGCATCTTTATGCGTAATGCATAAGAAATTCAAAGACCCACCACTGACTACATAATATAGAGAAAAATACCCTTTTACTGGTTTCAGCTTTTATTTATAAAGACATTAGGATGAGCTTCATAGAGTTCCAAATATTCTGCAACAGAAGGGCTCTCATTTCCAAAGCAGGGTTTGTTGTTAGTGCCTCTTACCCACTTGTGCAGCCTAAGGACAGATTTTTTCCTAGAGCTTTATGGCCCTAGAGCCCAGAACACTCTGCAGGCAGCCAGTGGTGCCTATGGCTTGGGGGAGTGATAACTCAGCCTTGACCCTCGTGTCCCCTCCTGCCCAGCCCCCTTTGTAGAAATTTCTTCACAAACAGTGTAATTCGATGCATGAGCTGTTTTACAATTGACAACACTCCCTCCTTCCCCTCTCAATCTTCACTCCTCTCCACTGCTCTGTTTGAAAAACACAGTAAAGAACCAGGAGGAAAGTAAGGTGGACTAATCATGTTCTTCTAATTTCCAGAGTAAGAAAAGTAAAAAAAAACAGAAATTTTTGGCATGACAGACTGAAGCTGGGGCCGGCCCAGTGGCGCAGCGGTTAAGTGCGCACGTTCCGCTTCAGCTGCCCGGGGTTCACCAGTTCGGATCCTGGCTGTGGACATGACACCGATTGGCAAGCCATGCTGTGGTAGGCGTCCCACATATAAAGTAGAGGAAGGTGGGCACGGATGTTAGCTCAGGGCCAGTCTTCCTGAGCAAAAAGAGGAGGATTGGCAGCAGTTAGCTCAAGGCTAATCTTCCAAAAAAAAAAAAAAAAAAAGACTGAAGCCTACAGCTAGAGATCTTACAGTTTTTGCGACTCTTTTGTTGGCAAACTAAGCAGACAATTTTGAGGCTTTATCTTTTTTTTGAACTAGGGTATTAAAATCTTCATGGAATCTAACGACTTGTTTGACCAGGAGAGAGTTTTTAGTACCTATTTTTTTCAATGATTTTTTTCTTAGGGACAGAAAGTAAAAATCCATTTGGGGAGCTAGTTATACAATAGGGAAGGTGGTGAATATTTTAAGAACATGGATGCTTCTAGTTAAGGCCAAATGGGAAAGTCTTTAAAAGTGCTTGTGGATAGAAGTGAGTAATGCTAAAAATCTAGCACTTTGGGGAGAAGAGTAGGAGAGAAGACAACTCAATGCCCATTTATATTAAAAAGCAAATTTTACGATGTCTAGAATTTGGATATACAAGCTGTCTTCCCAGAGTATGTCTAAAGAGGATTCTCTCAATGTTTTTGAACATTCCCTTTAAGATGCTCTCTCATTCTAAAAACAAATCTAAAAAAGTGTAAGACTGCAGGTTTTTAAGCTATCAAGTGACTGAACATAAATGACACTTTAAAAACCCCTTGCTGTGATAACTATCAATTCTTTAATAACGTCCTCCTCCACAGTAAAAAATGAAAAGAACCTGAATCGTCAAAACTAGTCCTCCACTCTGAAGTAGGGAAAACACACTCTACAAGAATTCACTGTGCTCAGAGTTCACTCAGCTCCTGGTATCCAAAAGGATACAGCTATCTCTGCCAACAACGCAAGGTGGCTCTTTAAAAACTTTTTTTTTTTAATTTATTTTTCTATTGAAGTATAGTTTTGAGACTCTGCACGTGAACATCTGTTTAACTTTGACAGAGACAATCTTCTTAAAAAGTAAATAAAGAAAACAGGAGACAGTTTGAAAGGTGAACAACCTGTGGTTACGGTGGGGCACAGAAGTGGAAGTGGCTGTGACATCTGGGAAGACGAGGCAGGGGGCATGTGAGGATGGAACAGTGAGTCATCCACACACAGGTGTCTTCAAGAGCGTGATGGCAGAGAAAATGAAGAGCCAAGGATAGGGAAAGAGGAGATGCGAAGGGAATCTAGAAAGAACACTAGCCCAGAAGTCATCGGTTGAAGAGTTTTAAGGAGCTCTCAGGAAACAGAGTCACGGGCCAGAGAGGGTGAGGAAGATGAGTCACGACAGATGCACCTGGAATACGTGCGTGGGGCTCCTCAGCCAGGTCTTTAAGATGTCTGTTCCAGGAACAGCCTGGTGGTGAGGAAACTGGGTCTAAATCCCACAGGATGAAGGTTAGATCTAGGGAAGCCCAACGATTGTCAGAAGCTAAGCAGGTCTTGAAATTCACAAAACCCACCGCTGACTAAACTCAGAATGTCAAACGATCCCTGTTCCTGTAGAAGAGACAGGTATGAAACTAAGACGACTCACCGTGGAGCGACAATCAATGTTTCTCATGGAACACGAGGATGCTGGTTGTGGCAGACAGACGTACACGCACTTACCAAAGACTCTGGCCACAAATCCCAGTGGGAACTGTGAGGCAAACACGGTGAGGAACCAGGGGGCGGCATAGAGGCTGGGGCCGATCTCGTGCTCCTCGAGGTGGTTGTAGAGGTCTCTGTGGTAGTCGTGAAGAAGCCTCGAGAGCTGGTACATCTGGATCTGTGGAGATACACGCACCCAGGTGTCAGAACTAGATACCTGCTACGTATATTCAGTTTCTTATCCCACTCACAGGGTGTAAGAGAGGAATTATTAGACTTTAAACATTCTGTCTGGGCTGCGATACCCACTGATCTCAACTACTCATTTATCCCACAAGCCATTACTGGGTGCCTGCTGCACACGAGCCCCTGGCTGGGTGCAGGCCCAGGACACTCACACCGGGTCATCTCCTACCACTTCCTTTCTCTTTACTGTTCCCTTGTGTTCCTTGGCTAAGAGAATCTAAACATCTGTCTTGTGAAAACATTTTCATAAATTCTCATACAAATACACATTCCTAGTAAAACTCAAACCCAGAGGAATCAGTCTCTCTGCTAAAAGTGATGCGAATGCACATGGTGATTCTGTCGAGGGATTCCATTGTGCTGTTCACTGGGTCAGTTCCCTCGGAGCCCCCAACTGACTCAATGGGCAGGACAAGTATGACTTCTTTAGGTTTATAATGTATGAAATATACAGATCCTGGGGAAGTTAAAATAAGAAGTGTTTATCTCAAGAAGGAGAAAATAACTTTTCCAACTGAAGTTGAACTTCAAGTGAAAGGGTTCACTCTCTTCAGAGAGTGATACGGCTCTGGCAGGAGGCCCCATGATGAGTCCCAGGGCTCACAGAGGTCCTAAAGCCAGCCCAGATGTCAGCATCCCAGGGCCTGAGCCCAAAGAAACAATAACTGAGAGAGGGTCAGAACCCTATGCTACAAGATGGATATGTACTGCTCAGGGGCCCAGCCCAAACAGTCCTCTAGTAACAAAAAACAGTGGCTTTTTTGTATCAAAAAGAATCTAACCACCAAGGCCACCAGCCCACAAAGAGTCGCATGGTATGATACAAAATTACATAAAACTCAAAACTTCTGCTCTCTTAGATGGCAAGTGTGCCTGTATTAAAGCTAATGGGGAGAATATAGGAAGAACCTGACAGTATGTGTGGAAAGTGTCATTGGGACAAAATCTTTTAGCTAATGGCTTCCTTGTATGAGATTTATGTTCGTGTGGTTCACATTCACAGGTGGAGGTGAAAGGATTTTTAACCACACAATCTAGAGCTCTGAAAGAGTCCCTGGCTCCAGTGTTTCCTTTTTAAGGATGCTTCTAAGGCTCTGAGATCACGGCATCTTGCTGGTAAATGAACACGTAAACACGTGCTCCAACATTTAGGAATATTCCCACGGCAGGATCCAGTCTTCTCTCCACCTCTAAAAGGTGGCAGGAGCAGCACTTGGCACTTGCTGCTGTGTTTGGTTTCCTTTTGCTATGACCTGCCATCTGTCACTCATCCATTCAGATAATGGCTGGGTACCTACTTCATCCCAGGAACTGTTCTAGGAACCAGGGACATAGCTCCGAGATGGGTAAGATGCCCCCTTTCACTAAGGAAAGTCAGAAAATAAATGGGTAAATGAATAAGGACACAAGACAATTTCAGACAATGCGTGTGTTACGCAGAAGAAATGAGATGGGATAATGTGATACAGTGTGCCAGGGTGGATGAGCAGGGACACGACATGAGGGTGGTCAGCAGGAGCTCCTCCAGGATGTGATACCTGAGATGAGCCCCAGATGACAAGGGCTGAGGGATGTCGGGTGAGGGGATCCCTGGTGGAAGAAGTAGCAAATACAGTGGGAGGTAGGAATTAGATCATGAGAAGACGGTCTGATGAGAGGTAAAAGGGAGGGCCCTGGAGTCAGACAGGCCTGGGTTTAAATCTGAATTCAGCCACTTACTAGCTGTGTGACCTGGTCAAATTATGTAATCTCTCTGAGCCTTAGTTTTCCCATCTATAAATTGACCTGACTAATAGCATCTTCCTGAGGGTTATTAAGGAGACAGGTACATATGAAACACGTGGCGCAATGCCTAGCACAAAGTTCTCAGCAATGACAGCTGTTACAGTGTTAACTGATGGTGAGAAAGTTCCTTTGATGGACCTGGAAGTAATCACACACGTCTTTGGCATTTGTCTCTATCAAAGACACAGGAACGCTCTCTACCTGTAAAATTATCATGTCCGGCCGGTACTGTTTCCGCAGACCCATGTCAAACATCAGAAACTTGAGCATGTTAAACGCCTCTTCCTCACCCATGTGAAGCAGCAGAATGCCTGCTACAAAGCTGAGGCCTTGGCAATATCCGACTTCCTGGTCTAGAAGCGAGTAGGCCTTCAAAATGTTGTAAAGGGACAGCTGCCCTGCTCCTAGCTGGGCAGAGAAGTATGGATGCGTTGGAAAGGTTCGTCCTGTGAAAACAATACACATTAGCTGTAATTGCAAAGAGAAAGCCACTGAACCAGAAACCCAAGGTGCTTCAGGTCAAAGTAACAGGTCTTTAGAAGTTGGACCATACTGTAAATCAGCTCTGTAAACAAGGTCAGCTGGTTGTTCTTGGAATAATGTTGCAATAAAAAATCAGCAGTTATTCATGCTTTTTTGTGGTGGTTCAGGAGAAAGCAATTAGAACTACCTTTGGTCCTACAGATCTCTGGATTTCAATCTAAAACAAACAAAAAAAGCTGTCGATCCTCTAAACACATCTACACTCTCAAGAGGAGCAAACAGCTGTGGTTCTTTACCACCACACTATTCCAACATCAACTAAATGCGGCCAAAAGCCTGGCCTTGCTACAGACACTCCCTGATCAGCTTTTCCCAGACTGCACTTATTTTGCCTGCAAATGCTTCGTGCCACATGCATATTTCTAAGCTTTTAAACCAGAGGCAGTGCTTTGAAACAGACTGAGGAGCAGTAAGTGTTTTCTTTTACACAAAAGAGTCACCTCCCCAAAAAAGGTTAAAAAAAAAAAAAAAAAAAGCCTGAGCCAGCCCTGATGGCCTGGTGATTAAAGTTCGGTGCTCTCAAAGCATCGGTGGCCCCGGTTCACTTCCTAGTCACAGAACCACACCACCCACCTGTCAGTTGCCATGCTGTGCCAGCAGCTCACACAGAACTAGAATGACTTACAACTAGGATACACCACCATGCACTGGGGCTTGGGGAGATGTGGGGGTGCTCCCAACATCCTGATTATTTTCACACAAAGCTGGTATTCAGATCGGGTTTAAAGACTTCTTTTGTTCAGTATGCTTTTATGGTTGATACCTGTCAAATCCCACCTCACCCCATCCTTTTGGAATGTGACCGATGGGGAAGTGTCTCCAGGGAGCAGAAAGTACCTGATTAAGAGAAATGCTCGGCCAGGGCCACATTTGGATCCAGGTGAGAATTATGACCTCGTCTGGATCAGCAAAGGCAGAAAGTGCATCTAGGCCACAAGTTAACTGTTCAACTTAATTATCTGGTCTCAGCAAAGGGAGAAGGATACATCTGTGAGATGTATCCTCAGCCTCGTGAGAAGGCATTTCATCAATCCAGGTTGGTCCATCTGAACTTGATTTAAGAGGATGGCAACAGTCTCCTAACTCCGTTCCTGATTTCTTATCCTGATTCGTTTCTTGCCTGCTCAACCTCTTCCCCAAACACACTCTGCACACGTCACTCACCGCTAGAAAGCAATCAACAGCTCCCCAGTCCACACACTCACCTCCTCACCTCCCCTCCCAGCTTCATCCTCTGCTCCAGGGTTAACCTTAGAGCTGTGAGGGGGGGCCTCCAGGTCTCTGAACCCTTGTGAGCTGTGTGCAGAACTGAGCGTGCATGTGCAAGTATGAGAGGGTATAATAATGCCTGTGCATTTTCCTGTTCTAGAGCAGCCTGTACAACTCAACTGTAATGTGAGCCACATACAATTTTCCAGTGGCCACATGAAAAAGTAATAGGTGAAATTAACTTTAACAAGAGAGTCTGTTTGACACAACAGATACAGAACATTGTCATTTCAACACATAATCAACAAATTATTATTAAGGCATTTTGCATTCTTTTTTCCATACTTTGCTTTTGAAATCCAGTGTATTCTTTACACGAATGCATATCTTGAATTAGGCTCAGCAAGTGTTGTTCAACCTGGAGGACTCACTTTTGCAAACGGGAAACCAGGGTAATTACCTATGCAGAAGGGATCCATGAAGTAAAAAGCTAAGGGGCATCTGAGAGGAACAATGAGGCTTTATTTCAAGCTTGAGTTTCGTGAGCCCTCAGACGCGTGACAAGAAGGAAAGAGAAGATAATGTGAGAGCGGGGGATTGCACATCCGGGGCCAGGACTGAACTCGGTTCTTCAGGCTCTGTCTTACTTCACCCACACAACCCAAACAGCAGACATTACGCTCCCCATTTTTGACAGCTGAGAAAAAACACACTGTTTTTAGAATTTAGCTAAACATCTTACTTAAAACATAAGACATATGAATTCTGACAAACAGAGACAGACTCTCCCTATGTGGGTTTGTCTGCAAGGCAGCAAGGGCAAGTGCAAAGGGCATAGTGCATGATTCTGACCCCAGCATGTGCAGCTCAGAATGGACCATCCAGCCCCTGTGAACCTCAGCTTCCTCTTCTTTACAATGGGCAGAAAGTACGCTTTGCGGAGTCGGGAGCACATGTACAATGCCTGACACGAATGGGTGCGATTAATGGCGTTTAAGCACGGGGCACAGTCTTCAGATATGCCATACAAAAAGCTGGCTTCCAACCAGGACAGAAAAAAACGGCACACACACAACACTTCTGTAGCAAAAATGCAAAAAGAGGAACAACCGTGCAGAACCACTGCTCTATTGATTCTAACATTCCACTTGAGCCTGAAACATCTCACTTTCCGACAGAGTTATAGAGGCAAAGGAAAGTTTCGTTCCAGGAACTAATTCCATGAAATTTAGAATTCACAGACATGTGGAACTGAAAGCCGATATGGATTCCAAATAATAACAGTAACAAACATCATCACAATCCAGATTCACCGAAACATAACTCTTTCGTGCTGTGGAGTCCCAGAAACTGTCACTGATTTTCTTTATGCGAGAAACCCGGCTGCAGAAACCTGACCGAGCTAAAACAAATGTTCCCGTGTGTTCCAAGAGACTGCCAAACGCCATCTCCCGTCCCACACAGTCTGGGATTCAGTGCAGCAAGAAAGGCGCTCCACCCGCCTCCAGGTTGGGGAACAGCCACGCGTCTCTGGTCTTCAGCTCCTAACGAACGGGAATGGAGGAATGACTGCCCGTCGGACTTCCTCACGCAGTTCTATTTGGGCGAGACAGAGTTTCCTATATTACATTTTTCTAGGTCAGTGGTTCTCTATGTATGGTCGGTCTAAGGACTGCTGGGGGTCTCTGAGGCCCTTTCAGGGGTCCCTGAGGTCCTCCCTCCCTTTTCCAACTAGGTCACCTTTTTCTCCATATATTTCAAATAACACAATCACAACAGACCGAACGCAGAAGCAAGTATGAAAGTCCAGCTGATTCTATTAAGCTAGACAGTAAAGAGATTTGTAAAAATGTAAAACAATGCCACTCTTCTCACTAAATTTTCTTATTTTGGAAAGTCCGCTTTTCATAATATGTTTATATGCGTGAGTTTATCATAGTTATCTAAAAATAAATACAGAAGTATTTATTTATATTATTTTAACAAAGTTTTAATTTCTGAAGAAGTTTTAATGTCTAACATAGTAAACACTAATAGAAATTATCCTTGCAAACAAAGCTCTTTGGGCCACTCAATAATTTTTAAGAGTGAAAGGAATCCTGAGATCAAAAGTCTGGGAACCGCTGTTCTAGGCGGACACCACGCTCACACACATTCCTGAACACATGCACACCGAGGAGAGGAGGGAGGCAGGGCTCGCGAGAAGAAAGTGGACCCGTCAGATTAGAAATGGTCCTAGACAATCCGCACCCACCTAATCCAGTACTGAGTACTGAGCCCTCCAGGCCCAGGTGAGAAGGTGCTAAGTCAGCACCGGGAAGGAAAAAACCGCACTTTATAGAGACCACACGTATGTACGTTGCTCTGCAGCAGGTGACGGGTCTAGCACAGCCCCCTGCACCTCGCTGCTCACTCGAAGCACATTAACTACAAGCAAGATGCTGTTTACTGTTGGCTGTTTGTTCAAAGCCTGTGAAAAGATTCTAGAACGAGTTTCTGACTCAACAAGACAGGCTGTGGAAGGCTGCACACCTCCAGGAGCAGCAGTGGCTCCAGAAGACTCCGGCTTAGGAAAAACACCTTATTTCTGCCAACCTAGAGGGCAACTGGGTAAAAACTGTGGAATCCTTCTGATAAATGGATCAGGCTACAGGCCCGCCTCTTTAAACTCTATTTTACTGTTTGCCACGTAGTAGAGGAATGCAGGCCCTTTAAATTTCTCTCTACTGCAGTCTCCCTTCATATACAAAATGAGAATGGGGCTGTTAAGTGGAGGAAGTCAAATATGAGCACAAAGAAACCCCTTATGTGTAACAATTTTGTGTCCTGTATGTCTAAGTGGAGAAATGTGCTAGAAAGGCCTAAGAGGCGATACTCAATTCAGACGTCTTTCTAGACCACCTCCTACTTAACTTCATGGTGTGCTCAACACGCTAAGTGTTCCTAAGGAATTTCATTTATCTAAGGGATGTTTCTCTGTGAATCTTCTCCTTCTCTATCACCTTGCCGGTGAAGAGCTTTCATCCAGCAGTTTCCAAACACTGATCACATCAGTCACCTGGGGGCTTGTGAAGCACACGCATCCTTGGCCCTCACCCGGAAATCCTTCTTCAGCGGCAGCTCAGGCGTGGCGGCCTCAGGAATGTGTTTTCTACAAGCTCCTCAAGGGACTGTGTGGGTGACCCCTGCACGGCACTGTGAGAAATACCACTCCAGTCTGAGCAGAGCCCATCTGACTTGACCCTGGGTGAGACCCGTGGTCTTCTCAGTTTTGTTACTTGCTGCAGCTGCTACAGGAGGCCAGAGGTCGGTCCAGCATACACAGGGCCACTTGCAAAGCTATTCCGTCTTGAGGACGCTCTGAACAGCTGACTATCAGGTTTCTTTCTTTTGCCTCTTTCACAAAGAGCCTGGAGACTTCTGCATCTCTAGGGAGAGGTGCTGGCAAACCAGCCACCTGACTGTGACCTCTAACTCACGGGTCTCGTTGTCCTCACTTGCGGAAGGAAGAGTAACCTACGGTCAAATGACCTCTAAGGCTCTTTCCAGGAGGAGGAGCTGTGATCCTAAGAGATTCTTAAATTGCTCCAACCATCTAGCTCGGAGCAGAATGTGAGATGAGAGACTGAAGAAAAAATACCCTTTGCATGACTCCTCACAATTTAGTTAAATAATTTGGTCATCAGCTGTTCAG